TTGACGGCAAACAAGTGAACGAATTTCTGGGCATTCCTTACGCCAAACCACCCAAAGGTGACCTCAGGTTCCGGAAACCCGTTCCCACCGACAGTTGGTCTCAACCATTGGTGGCCGACAAGTGGCCTAACGCTTGCTCTCAACTGAATATATATCCCGAATACTATCAAAACAAAAATATTAGTGAAGATTGTCTTTACCTAAACATATGGTCACCGGTGAGTACTGTGAGGTCAAAGGTGACCGGACGGAAAACACGCAAAGTTAGCCAACTTAAGCCGGTTATGTTTTACGCACATGGAGGTGGCTTCTCTGTGGGCTCATCCAGTCAATTGAACTACAGGGGCGAAGTGTTGGCAACAAAGGGGGACGTGATTGTTGTTACCTTTAATTACCGGTAATTAATAATCAATAAAATTAGTTTTAAGTCTTAATACAAATGTCTCAAATGAATAGATTAAATGCATTTGGATTCCTATATACGGGAACGGATGACGGGCCCGGAAATGTGGGTCTCTGGGACCACGCGCTGGCACTGGAGTGGGTGCACAAGAATATCAGAAATTTTGGCGGAGACCCCGAGAAGATCACTATTTTCGGTACGAGCGCCGGTAGTATGACTTCCAGTGCTTTAGTACTGTCTCCCATAACTCGCAATCTATTCAAAAACGCTATATTAATGTCTGGATCGGCGTTGGGTGAGATGACTGGTAATCCGGATGAAATGAAACAGTATTGGCTTCAAGTGGCAAAATACGTGAACTGCACAGACGATAAATCGCCTGGCACATTCACGCCTAAAGTCATAAACTGTTTGAAAGCTGTAGACCAGGAAACATTGGCTACCTATTCATCGGCAGTTGCATATCAGGCTGGAGGTGCCATAAAACAAGTATCTTTTATGGTAGCCGATGGCATATTTCTACCTAAAAAACCACATGAAATGCTAATATCCGGGGATTTTCGCAAAGACATGAATCTAATGATAGGTAACTGTGAGGACGAGGGCAGTAATGTGTTGATGTTATTTGCCTCCAATTTGGGTGAAGACCCCAAGAAGTATGACACTCACAACCCGACGCCCATTACATACACGGAGGCCTACAATACCACCAAAAACCTGTTCTCGTCGTTGGCTCTGAAGCCGAGGATTAATGGCGAAGATGTGGCCAAACTATACTTCACGGGTCTGTCCGATAAGACATCGCAGGATGTGGTCAGACGTAGCATTGGTTACGCTTTCGGCGATTATGCCATGACTTGTCCGACCATTTCGTTTGCGAAGAGTCTGTACAAAACGGATCCAAAGAGTAATGTCTATCAGTATTATTTCAATAGCAAAATAAGTGACTGGAATCCACTTTGTGGGCCATGGATGGGGGTGTGTCATACCAATGACGTTGATCATGTGTTTGGTATGCCATTCCTCGACACCAAGCGTTTTGTCGATAGGGAACGGGATATATCACAACAAATGATTGATATTTTCACAACATTTGCTAGAAATGGGTTTGTCATAACAAATGAATTTATTTTATTTTTCATTAAACTTACGCTTTTATTGTAGTAAACCGCCGGCACAGGGAGACTCCGATTGGCCCCAGTATTACACAATTGGTGACAATACTGTTGCCCCGTATTATGAAGTGACAAATTACCCGAAAAACATCACAAATTTCAATACCGACCTTAAAATTACTGATTGCGAGAACTTATTCAAACCTTATGTCAAAATATGATTTTTAATTTACAATGATATTACAATTAAAGTTTTTATACCTTAATCAATTTCATTATTACTTAACATTTCAATTTTATATTCATTACAGTATTACTAATATTATTAATTATATTATAATAAAAGTATATTTTAATACAAAATAATACTGATAGTCGTAGTTTGATACAAAATTAATAATTATTACAATGATACAGTATCAAGCATAAAATAACTAACTGATTAAAAGCACAATTTAATCTAATAATTAAGATTTAATACCATACAAACAAGTTATGCTTCACACTAATATGCAATTTACTAAAGAATACCGATAACTTATCAATGCATAAATTACACTAAAAATAATATTAGTGCAGAGTTAGTATACAAACTTCTGCAACTCTGTAGTGTAGAAGCACCCATTGATAACAAATCAATTACCTTTATAATATATTTTCTAAAGTTGTAAAACCACTTACATTATACAAGTGCAACTGGACT